TCTGGGCTTACCTGGGTTTTCTCCCCACAGGTGCTGAAGAACCTGCAGGTGATCGTGGAGGACAAAAATGACAATGCACCTGTTTTTCAGAACGCCGCCGGTTTCTCCATCAACGTCAGTGAGGTAACATCTGCCTTAACGGTGTGTGTGTGTGTGTGTGTGTGTGTGTGTGTGTGTGTGTGTGTGTGTGTGAGAGAGAGAGAGAGAGGGGGGGGGCAGGCATCCTAGAAGCTCTTCTCAGAGTGGAGAGGGCCAGAGACAGTCAGCAGGTGATCCAGGATCGGGAAAAGCACCTGCTAGAAGGGGTGGCTGCTGGAACAAAATTTAGGGGGATGTAACCCCATGGACAATAGGTACAGCAACATTTGGCAATTGATTAGACTGCACTGGAATTCTTTCAGCTATGAAAGGGAAAAAAAGGAATTGATTTTCTTGTATCTGAAAAATTTGGGGTATATCTAGATTTAGGTATGGCTGGATCCAGGTACCCAAACCAGGTCATCAAGAAGAGATTTCTCGCCACCTCTCAGCTCTGCTTCTCCTGTTGCCTCCATCCTGGGGTAGGGGGGAGGTCTCCCTTGAAGTGATAAAATTCTCAGCAGCTCCAGGCTCATATCCCACCAGCTTTGTAGCTTCAAAACAGACTGTTTCTTTCTCAGTGGTGACAGCCAAAACCTTAGGGCTGATTCTCATTAGCCCATTTTAGGTCATGTGCTCATCAATCTAGGGGTATGAAATGATCTGATTGGTTAGGTCAGCATCATGGGCCTCCCCATCTAGTAAGGGGAGGTAGCCCCACTGGCTTCCTGGCTGTGCCTAGAACACTCCACACGCATCCCCACCTCAGAGCCTTTGCATCTGCTGTTCCCCTGACTGGACCATCCTTTTCTTGGAGCATCGTGTAGCCAGCTTCTTCCTGCCATATAGGTCTCTGCTCAGGTGGCACTTTCTCAGAGAAGCTTTTCCTGACCGCTCACCTTAAAGCAGCCCTTCCCCAGTCACCCTCTCTCACCTGGCCCTGGGTGGGGAGAGTTGCCCTAGTGGTCCCTATGCAGCAAACAACGCCACTCCCAAATCTTCATTACCACGTGGCTTTGATGACCCATGAGGTTAGGGCCCCACGTGAGGCCAGACTAGGCCTGTGAGGTCCAGACAGCCATTCGACAGGCTCTGAGGAGCACCTACTACGTGACAGATACCGTCCTTGGTGCTGAGGGTATCTGGCGAACAAGACAGGCCTGGTTGCCAACTTCAGTAGCTCGCATTCTAGTTAAGAGCACAGACACTAATCAGGGAAACATTAAATAAGCGGGGTTATTTCAGATGGAATTGAGCTCCGTGAGCCTCATGGAACGGCCAGGTGAGAGAGGGTGACTGGGGAAGGGCTGCTTTAAGGTGAGCGGTCAGGAAAAGCTTCTCTNCTGCAGCCTACGCCGTCGCTGGCGACTCATGGCAGCCCAGCTCCAGGTTGAGCTGTTGTTCAGCATCTTAGCTGTGGAGGGCAGTGTCACTGGCCCCCATATGTGGGATCTGAACCGGGGCCCTCTGGCATCCCAAGCCAGTTCTTAACCGTCGCTCCACTCGGCCGGCCCGATAGTCCCATTTTTTAGAAGGCAAACTGAGAGGCAGAGAGGAGGACAAAAGAGCTCCTGGGTATGGCTGTGCCATGTCTGGGGGCTGGAGTAAGACTGTGCCTCCTCCACTCTCGTGCCTGGGGCTGCCCAGCACAGCGAGGCCTGAGGAATGGACTGGCCTGGGCACTGTCAAAGGCAACTCCATTCACCTCTTGTCCATTTGTACCTGCTCTGTCTCCTGCCCGTCGTGGTCCCAGGAGCTTAGGCGACCAGAGGAGGGGTCGCCAATGCCTGAACATGGCTCCACACCTGACCTGGCCTTAGAGGGTAGAAAGAATTTGCACGTTCTATAAGGCAAGGGAAGGCATCCAGGGCAAAGGGGACACATATGCAAATGCCTGGACAGAGGACGACCTAGGGTGTGGACTGAGAAAAGGAGCATTCAGTGTCACCGGCCAGAACAGCTTTATGGGAAGAGAGACCCAGGCCTTGTGAGGACCTAGCCTGCCAGGCTGAGGGCAGGGAGCATGTCCAGCAGCCAGTGGGAGCCATGGCAGAGGTTTGAGCTTAGAGGTGGCTGCTACCCAGTGGGAGGGGGGGCAGGTTTGTCCTGTGCCCTCCCCAGCTCACACAGACTGTACAGTTTTCTCAGTGACTGAATCCAGAGGATGACAGCACAGACTGTAGGACTTTGGCCTCATTATGATCAAATGAGTGTGTGCTTATAAAGGTCTCTGTGAGAAGGAGATTGTGGAAGCCCAGGGCTGACCCAGGCAGTGCAGGAAGGAGAGAGGCAGGACCACAGCAAGAAAAGACATGGCACTGGTAGTCAAAGGGGTGACATCCCAGCTCCGCCCCGACTGGCTGGGGGACTTTGGGCAGGAGCATTTCTTTTCTGGGACTCGGGCGTAACGGGGGTTGACCACCATCTCTTCCTCCCAGGGGTGGGGGGGATGGTGAGGACCAGGTGCAAAGAAAGACTGTGTGAGCCCTATGCAAATGTCAGGGTGGTTATGCTGTTCTGAGTAAGGTGTCTGGAGGCCCTGTGAGAGTGGGAGGGGGGAAGCTGGAAGAAACTTTGATGAGCGATGCATAGCTGTGTGTAGGAAGGGGGCCTGGCCTTAGAGGGTGGAAAGAATTTGCACATTCTATAAGGCAAGGGACAACATCCTGGACAGAAGGGACGCACATGCAGGGAGGGTGGGGGACCCCAGGAGGCATGTGTGTGTGGGGCTCTGCAAGCCTAGGAGGAAATCTGGTTGATGAGAAAGGGTGAATCAGAGAACTAGAAAGAGAGAGCACAGATTTCCTGCTTTGGGCCCTGATCCCATTGCTGACTGGGCCACATCCCTTCCCCTCTGGGACCACGGTGTGCTGAGGACCAAATGGTAATGGGACAAAGTGCCAGACACAGCATGTGGCCGGGCCAGCTCCCATCCCCTCAGGGCTGGACCTGGGAGCAGGAGTCTCCTGTCCTTCCAATTGCACTGAGGTGAACTTTGTCACTGTGGAGAGCACACTGCATCCCCACGGCTGCACACTGCATGACTAATTGTCCTGTGGCTGCTGACTCACCTCTGAAGGAAGGGACAGGAGAGAACAAAAGAGGTGAGGGAGTCAGGTCCAAGATCACATCCGAGGAGATGCCAGGACTAGCTTCATCCAGCCAGTGTTAAAATGCCCTGGATTTTGCCACACAGTGGTCACCAGCCGCCCACCACCATCACCACTGCCCAACTCCATTGCATCTCTACTGTCAGCTCACCACCATCATCATCTCCACCTCACAACCATCACCACCACCCGCTCCATCTGTCTCTCCACCCTCATTATCACACACATTATCAGTGAGCGTGTCTATCCCCATCTCATCACCACCATCATCAATCAATCACTGCTTCCATCCCCACTGCCATCCCTGCTACTCCCAACCAAACTGCTGTCCTGGTCCCCAGCCCCGCCTCCATGACCAGCTCCAGGACACCTCTGTCACTACACTTGACCTCGACTCCTTCATGCCAGCACCTCCACAGCATCGTCTCCATCTCCCTGAGGACTGTGGCTCCACACATGGGATTCTGAGGACTGAGGACTTATTAATTCCTCCAAGCAGCCTAGTCCATTAGCATTTTCCAACCTGGCTGAGTGTAGCCTGGCTGTCTAGCATGTGGGTTGTCCCAGCTATCATGGCTGGGGACTTTGGCAAGCCAGCAGTTTTTAAAAATCCCCTCCCACCCCCCCACCCACCCTACACACACACACACCTCTGAGCTGTTGTTCTCAGTCTAGTTGTGGAGGATGCAGCTCACTGGCCGGTGTTGGTATTATGATCATTGCGCTCTACCTGGCTGAGGCAGCCTGTCACTGGCCGTCTACCGGCTGCTCACGGCAGCTCACAGCAGCTCACGCCAGCTGCTGGCCACTCACGGCAGCCCAGTTCCAGCTCCAGGTTGAGCCATTGTTCACAATCTTAGCTGTAGATGGCCCAGCTTACTGGCCCATGTGGGAATCGAACCAGCAACCCTATTGTTCAGAGCTTGCACTCTAACCAACTGAGCTATCCTGCCACCCAAGTCAGCAGTTTTCACAGCCACTTTCCAAGGGGCAGTGGTTCAAGTCACACTGCAGGTAGTGACCGAAATACAGTCCATGGCTTCATCCACACACAGCCCACCCTGTCCCTGACCTCTGCATTCAGTCTCAGGCCACTGGCGTGGTGATGGGCACAGGGGAGAGATGGGAGCAGTTTCCATGGTGACTGCACTGGCAGTAGCAGGCATAAGGCAAAGATGATCCCGCAAGATGCAGAAGGAAGGGATTTGCATTTGCTGAGCACCTACTGTATGCCTGACGCTGAGCTGGCTCATCCCATTCTCATTCATACCTCCCCCCCGCAACTATTTATTAGTTATCTTTCCCATCTTACAGATGAGAAGGGCAGAGAAGGGCAGTCAATGCCCAGTGAGGCTCTGCTGCTTCTCAGCTCTGTGAACTTGAGCACTTCAAACTGGAAAGGGCGTGCAGTGTTGAGGGAATGAATTCTGGCCCAAAATACCTGTGTTCAGAGCATGGTCTTGTCATTGATTCTCTGTGTGGCCTCAGGCAAGCCCCTTACTCTCTTAGCCTTGGTTCCCTAGCAGCCACCTCAAAGTTATAGGAATAACAAGTCATGTGCTTGAATCAATGCCTGCTACACAATGGGCCCTGAACTCTGGGGTCAAGTTCAGGGTCAGTCTCAGGCTGGGTCTCTGGACCAAACTCAGCTACCCTGCTCACCCTCTTGGTTTTCCCCAATTCCCCTTACCCTGGAACATCTGGAAAATGGGCAGAGGGTGATAGAGGCCTGGGGGAGAATCGCCGAGTGGTGGATGGGCCTGGGTCAGACCCACACAGATGAGATCTCTTCCCTGATGCCTCTTCCCCCAGGTCCTTTCAGACGTGATGGCTTGGCCATGGCTGTCCTGCCTCCTGCTTCCTGCCCTCATCATGTCTGGTGGGTGCCTCCCCTCCCTGGGGACCCTTGGCAGAACTCTGCAGATGGGAGCGGCTCCCTCTTCAGCAAACACCCAGCTTCTATGACCCAGCCCTGTGCTTGGCTGCCCTGGGGAGGTCTGGGGAGGAATACAGGCCCAGAAGGGTGAGCTGGGCTGAACCCTGGCCAGTGAGGCGGCTGTGGGCTCCCACAGAGGTACATGGGGGTCAGCTTTACAGTGGTGTCCAGACGTTCTAGCGCTGTGTCCCTACAGTGGCAGCCAACGTGCCCCCGCAGTTTGCGTCCAACATGACGTCAGTGAGCCTGCCCGAGGACCTACCAGTGGGTGAGTAACCGTCCCTGTGCCCAGACTGTGCTAAACCCTTTTCCACAAGAGAGTCCCAGGGGCTCCCATGTGGGCTTGCTCCCCATCCTGCAGCTTCAGGGCGCGTCATTGGGCAAAGGTGGCCTGAAGGGAGTTTGTTCCAGAAGTTTGTTTGAACCTCTTCAGCATTTGGGTCGAGGGCCTCTCACACAGCATCAATAAATCCAGACTCACCCACAAGAACGGTCCTCCCATTTTCTATCTCTTTCAGTCTTTCTGGTTTCTCCTAGGCGAAAGTATCCATTTGGTCCCATTACTTTTTTTTTTTTTTAAAGATTTTTTTTTTAAATTGGGGAATTGGGGGAGGGGAACAGGCAAGTTGCTAGATTGAAGAACAAAAGGACAGCCATTACTTCTTTTTGTGTGTGTGTGTGAAATAAACATTTTTTAAAAATTAGTTTCAGCTGTACAACACAGTGCAATAGTTATACTTTTTACCCCTCTAAGTGACAACCCCCCTCCCCCAATCCGCCGCCCCATTCCCCCCCCCATATGATACATATCTATTACAATTCCCTTGACTCCACTCCCACACTGTACTCCGCGTCCTGTGACCACATATATATATATTCTATTATAGTTGACATACAATATTATACAACATCAGCTTCAGGTGTACAGTGCAGTGATCAAGCCTCTACCCCATCCATGAAGCAGTCTCCCTAACAAGACATGTGACCATCTGACACCCTACAAAATATTTACAACATTATCAATTATATTCCTCGAACTGTCTTTCATGTCCCTGTGGCAATATTGTAGTTACCTATTTATGCTGTCTAATCCCTTCCCTTTCTCCCTCATCCCCATCTTCCTCCCAACTAGCAGCCATCAGTTGTTCCTCTATAACTCTGAGACCATTTCTGTTTACTTTGCTCGTTCATTCAGTTTTTTAGATTCCACGTATAAGTGAGATCATATGGTATTTGTCTTTCTCCGACTGACTTACTTCACTTAACATAATGCTCTCTAGGTCCATCCATATCGTTGCAAATGGTACGATTTCAGGCATTACTTCTTTTACACCTCTCACACTGGCTAATCTCCCTCCACCCCTGCTTGCTTTTTTTTTTTTTTTTTTGTCAAACAAAGAGAAAGCAGGCTTTAGGCTCAGCCTTTCATCACATCTGGCCAGAAGTTAACACCTTTGCTTTGCTCTTATTGCCTTTGTTTGTAGAGTTATTTTCTATCTATGGCAAAGGAGGTGAGTTTTCCATTTACAGTAGTGATCTAATGCTTGTTTTTAAAGTAATTGTATTTACATGAAATAGTAAGTTGACTAAAAGAAGGGTTATAATGAGACATGGGTATGGTAAAGATCGTGGCAGTATACAGGAGTGAATAACGTTGGGATGAAGCCATAGGGACTGGATCCCAAATTCCCAGCAGGCAGAATATGGGCTGGGGAAGCAGAAATGATAGATGACTGTATTCATTGGGGTGTAGGGTCAGCTGCGCATAACAGACCGCCATACCAGAGGTGTAAACAAGGTCAGGGCTTATTATTCTCACATGGCCATCTAGAGCTGGGTCCAAGGCTGTCGGAGGCTTTGTTCCCTCATGCTGTTCCCTGCTCTGTGCTTCTGGTGTCAGGTACCCACCCTTCGATCTCCAGGCTCTGCCTTCCTTAGGGTATGGCTCTCTTCCACGTGGTCCAGGATTGCTGATGCCACTCCCCATTCCAGCCAGCCAGAGGAGGAAGGGGCCAAGAGGGCTGTCCTTTCTCATAGGGACAGGCTCCAGGTTTTATCCTTGTTACTTCTGCTCACGTCCCATTGGCCAGAATTTAGCCACATGCCCATGCCTAGCTGCAAGGGAGTCTGAGAAACGAGGTCTTCTTCTGCGTGGCCAAGTGCCCTGCTCAAAATCCAGGGTTCTGTTAGTCTGAGAGACAGGTGGGGGACAATCTGCATTCAGCAGAGTTAGAATTGGGACCCCAGATAGCTAAAGCTACCAGATGAAGGAAAAGACTGCATCAAAGAAAGTGAAACGCAGATCCTGCCCTGTGATTCAGAAGCCGGGTCTGGGTACATGAGGAAGAATTGGGGATGGGCTTTGTAGCCTGGGCATCCCTGTCCCATCTCTAGGTGCCGAGGCCTTTTGGATGGTAGCTAAGGACCTGGACCAAGACCCTCTGACCTACGGGATTAGTGGCTCCTTCGCCTACTTCTTCAATGTCACCCCGGCCACTGGGGAAGTGAAACTGGCCAGCGCTCTGGACTATGAGGTAAAGAACAGTGGCCTAGGAAGGCCCCCTGAGGCAGACAAGCAGGCACGGAGGGCCCTGGGAGCCAGTGTCCCAGTGGTAGTTTCCCTGCCTGTGCTCTCACCTTGACTAGGGGTTTACCTTGGTCCCCTTCTCTCCTCCTGCTGCAGACACTCTACTGGTTCACAGTCACCATGTCCGTGAGCGACAGTCACAACAACCCAGTGAGTTGGGGTGGGGTGTGGAGGGGGGGGAGGTCCAGAGATCAGAGGTCAGGGGACTGGGGCCCACTCCTGACTGTATCCCCCACCTGAAACAAACAGAGATAGCCCCAGTTAACAACAATAAAAATTGAATGTTTACTTTTATCAAAATTATACTTGTCCACTTTTTGTTACACAATATTACCAAGATTTTAATATCTATTATTAATTTAATTATATAAATACATTGTTTATATTATAAATATAACTAATTATATTATTGATTAATATACATATTAATAAAAAAGCAAATGCCAAATACCTTCCTACTCTATCTCCTCTGAGATGATCACCTTCAACTCCTTTGGCTGCATGTGTTGATATCAACACTCATATTTCTAAGTAACACACTTATACCACTGTGCCTTGTATCTGTGAAAGTTGAGGGTTCTATCTCTATAACATATTCTCCAAACCCCATCCATTAAAAGAAAAGTTGTTTCAATGACTTGGATATTCAAGAATATATTCTCTTTGTAAACATCTAAAAAATTGCAGATAAAGGTCAAGTCCCTTTGGGCAACCCTTCCAGCCCACTGCCACCTAAAGTGTCCACCCCATTGTGTTCTTTTGTTTTCTCACTAAGTGTTCACATACCTATATGCATCCACAGAAGAAAGGTGGTAGGTTTTTGTGCATTTTCTAAAACCCATGTGGGACCCCACTGTACGTATTGTCTTTTTTTTTTCTTCTTAAGGTTTGTATTGGGGAATTGGGGGATGGAAACAGTGCTGGGGAATTGGGGAAAGGGGAACAGAAAAGTTGCTGTCCTTTTGCTCTTCAGTCTAGTTGTGGAGGATGTTGCCCAAGTTGGCACCATCATTGCGCTCTTCCTGGGCGAGGCAGATCAGTCGCCAGCTTCTGGACGGCCACTCACTGCGGCTGCTGGCTGCTCATGCTGGCTGCTGGCTACACA